TTTGAATATCCTTGGGATGTTGAAGCCAACATAGTCCTATTGCTAGGAACCATGAATGTGGTTCAGATCTTGTTTATGATTGAGCAATTCTGTGACTACCCCAATTCCTGTGACAAGCACTGCAGCTACACAAAGCCTGGTGATGAAGACTGTGGTTATTCAAACCCCACTTAGGATAGGACACTGCAGCTACTCAGACTCTGGTGATGAGTGTTGCAACTGAACCAGAGAAGCAATCCATGCCAGCATCAGTAACCTCTCTCTTTAAGCAGAAATGGACATGAAAGTCACCTTGCTGCTTACTAAGGAGAGCAAAACAGGTCACTACAAGAACAGGAGGAAGAAACAGAACAAGAATTAAAACCAAAAATTCCTATCTCTGAGTGTGTTATAGGATAAGTGAAAAAACTTCGTGTTATCACATGGCTTGTCTGACACTGATAACAAGGATGACAGGCTGCCATTAGAGGATAGAGAGGTCAAACAGCTAGCACCACTTCCTATGGAAAGAGGCTTTGATGAGGCAGCTGGAAAAGGGACACAAGTCCTGAGTCTCTGGAGGCAACTCCTGTCAAGTGTTAAGGCAAGGTAACTCTTTCAAGGAAAATATTTTATGTCACACAGAAAAATGGGCCATGATGGAGAGAGGTATCTAGCACCTGAGGGAATTAGCTGTAATAGAGATGATCTGTCATGATTTAAACACCATGGAGATCCAGAAGTCCAATGCAGATGAGCCATGTGGTGGAAATTTGAATAGAGCACACAATTGTCACATGCAAACCCAATGGCAGCAATGACCGTGGAGAAACAGAATCACCCTCAACACATGAATTGTCCCATCAACTCTGGAAATACAAATAAAGCCTCTCTTCTCCCTAAAGGCTGGCATCCTGGCAATGGAAAAACTGTCCAAAAAGTGGGGAAAACTATCCCAGGGGTTCCAGCAAATCAAAAGAGGATATGTCCCACATCCCATTTGTATGCACTTGCATACTGTTCAGCTATGAACAGTAAGTATTTTTTTCCTCCAGGGTGAGGATATAGAATAATACAGTCTCCTTCCTGTGTAGCCAAAGAGACAACATGAGGAGATGGGATGGAAAAACTACCTCTGTCCTGGAAGCATAGGTGCAGGAATCACCAGAAAAACAATCACAAATGGGAGTCCTTCCAGGGAGGTTGCTGCTCCAGTCTCCAGTGGGCAGAGAACCCAGAGAGTGTAGAACTGCTGATATTGCTCCCGGATTCTGTGAGAAAGAATTCTTATCTCTTTTTTACACAAGGTAAGATGAGATTCCTATGATCAGTACTAGAGAGGCTTAGCCACAAATGGGAGTCCTTTCAGGGAAGTTGCTGCTCCAGTCTCCAGTGGGCAGCAACCCAGAGAGTGTAGAACTGCTGATTTTGCTCCCGATTCTGTGAGAAAGAATTCTTATCTCTTTTTTACACAAGGTAAGATGAGATTCCTATGATCAGTACTAGAGAGGCTTAGCCTCTAGTCAGGTGGAAGAGAAGGACAGCCAGATTCGCTGGTATGTGGATTTGATGGCCTGGCACATCAGACTCACAGAGATAAAAGGGTCCAGTAAGATACTGATGCACAGTGTACCCTTATGCCTTGAAGCTATACAGGAACAGGACCCATTTGTATTTCCAGAGTGACAGGAGGATCTCAACAGCTAAACCTATTGGAAGCTGAAATAAGCCAAACTAGGAATGAGTGGCAAAAGCAACCCATTTTGTTGGCCCAGAGGTTCCATGCATCTTTGGATTAGACTAATTATCTCAGCAGAGGGTATTTCAAAGGCCGAAAAGGAAACCATTGGGTTTTCAGTATAGTTGTCTTAGAGATGAAAGAAAATAAGAAGCTGCTCTATCTTGTCTGATCTCTCCCTTTTGGGGTCGCTGAAAGCGAAAGAATGACAGATACCTATCACTACCAGCACAGGGCACCAGTAACAGTGTTGCACCAACTGAGACTTAACTGGAGAGCGAAGGAATGATCAGCAGGACCCAAGACACTATAAGAGTCCCACATGGATGGTGAAAATTCTTACGGTGTATGGATTCTAATTTGTCATTTCAGCTTTTGAACAATTAATCACCTCCCTTCAAGCTTGGCCTTGAGCTTGATAGTTTATCCAGCTTTTCATTCGTATCATCGTACATCTCTCCAGTTCTATTCTGCCAGTTTGTCCCCAAAGGTTATTGGGATGTTGCCAAATAAGCAATTATTAACTCAATTTTAATTTTTAATTTTTTTTCATCCTAGAATTTATCCTGTTGTTTGCTTTTTAATTCTTTATTTCAGATGGATACCTGGGGACTGGATACTTCCCCATGAGAACTGAGTCATAGAAGACACAAGATACCCCAGCCTTTTCCACATCATTTTGAACTATCTTGCCAGCCCTGTTCAGCAGGGGACCTTCATCTTCCAAATGCTTCCAATGAATTTCTGACCACAAAAAATAGCAAATAAAAATGAAGAAATTAATGAAACATACAGATTGTTGGCACTTCAGGCTTAAGAATTTGTGTATGGATTTTTTCCCCCCCCCTTGCACAAAATAAAGATTTCTCATTGTCTATCTTCGAAACACCAGATATTTATAATTTCATATTTTAAATATTGCACCTTTGGGGTGTTTTTCAGTAGTAGTCATGTAATGTGATCATAGAATAATAAGTAACGACACGGCAAATCAGAAGGTTTTATTGTTAGACCAGAACTTTTTACTGCAATGTAATTATATGTATTATTTCACTGAAATCTTCTGCTTCACAAGACATGTAACTACATTGAATTCCTTTTCATATAATAAAAAATCAAACAAAACAGAACAACAACAAAAAGCAATTAAAACAATAACCCCCTCTTAAGTTCTTCAGAATATTTGGAACAGAATTAAAAAGTAACATGCCTGAATCAAGACATTAAAAGACATAACATCTTTTGTAGTCAAAGATATATTTTCCTTGTAATTCTTATGACTTTAAGCTAAGAATGTCAACTCTCTAAACTAACTGAATAATTGTAAATGAATTTATGCATGGAACTGTAAAAAACAATCTCCCTTTATTGTGGAAATGGGCATTAGAATTTACCAAAAAGGAAAGGCTTATGAGTTGAAATTCTGTGAATAGAAATTCAGGATTTTTAAAATTATAATTATATAAGCTATCTCTTAGTCTGAGCAGTATATGTCTTCAAGGATAAATAATTTATTAGGTCCTAATAATTTTGCAATCTTTTGAGATAAAACTGTCTTTTAAAAGCTGATTCTTATTGCTAAAAAAGTTTTAAAAAATCATAACAAGTTAAGCCATTAAAAGTGATGAGATACTTTTCCCATGTTATATAGATGAAAACAGGGGTTTTTATGTTGTATGTGTATCATGAAAGATAACACATTATCAGAAGCTAAATGAAGGGCACATACTGCAATAAAAATGTTAAATTAGCAACTCCTCTACTTCTTATATTTTCTTGTTTGTTTCCTCTCAATTATTCAGTAGATTTTTTTAAATTCTTATTAATTTTTTCCTTGATTCTACATAACCTTTTTAACATCCAGCCAGCTTATATAGCTTGTCTGTTCACAGAGCAGTTTGTGATTACAAATATCATCTGTCATCTTCTAATATGGAAACATTAAATGGCCTTTAAAATACATAGGCAGCAAATAAGGTTTTTATGCTTCATCAGTGGTGGATGTTGCACTGATTTTATCAGTGCGAAGTAGAGCATAAGAGCAAAAAAGATTGAAAATTAAGTCAGAATTTTGAAGCAATGGAGGTAGAAAACCAGAAACTCAGCAGTTATAAATGGAAGAACAAAAAGAAAAATTACTTTTGAGTAAGAAACTACACAACCCCTCCACATACAGACCAGACATTCAAGAACATGCAAAATGAAATTACAGTTGTAAGAGTTCACTTTGTGGATTATCTGTTTGATCTGTTGCAAGCTGAGTGGAGGAGAGGAGAGGAGAGGAGAGGAGAGGAGAGGTACAGCAATCCTATAGCCCAGCTGCCTGACCTGTTCAGAGCTGACTAAAAGTTGAAGTACATTCTTAAGAGAATTGTCCAAATGCCTCATAAAGACTGACACCGTTGGTGCATTGACTACTTCTCTAGGAAGCCTGTCACAGTGTTTGGCCACCCTCTTAGCAAAGAAATACTTTCTGATATCCAGTCTGTTCCTCCCCTGGAATAGCTTTGAACCATTCTCATGTATTCTAGCACTGGATACCAGGAAAAGGAGATCAGCACCTTCCTCTCCATCTCCTGAGGAAGCTGTAAAGAGCTGTAGGAGCTGCGAGGTCACCCCTCAGCCTCCCCCTCTAGAGAACCCCATAGGATATTCCTCAGCCACTCTCCACAGGACATCCCTTCCAGCCCTTTCCCCAGTTTTGTTGCCCTCCCCTGGGCACAATCAAGCACCTTCACATCCATGTAAAATTGTGGGGTTCAGAACTGCACACAGCACTCCAGGTGAGGCTGCACTGATGTTGAATACAGCAGGATAATCACCTCTTTGGGCCAACTGGTTACAATGTTTTTGATGCATCCCAGGATGTGGTCTTCCCTTCTGGCTTCCAGGGCACACTGCTAGTTCCTATTGAGCCGCTGTCGACCAGTACACTCATTTATTCTCAAACAATGTCTGTTCTATGATCAGGTAGGTACTCATTCAGCACAGCTTCATGGACTAACAGCCAGCAAATGCTATGATGCGGGGGTTTCCAAAGTAGAGATGGGCTAAACTCTGTCACATACTGCCAGATGGACATACATGAATATAGTCGTATGTGTCCAAATGTTTTGATCTGCTGCTGTATATATTTTAAAAGGTGCCTTTGTTTACAAATAAAACCAGAAAATAGTCAGACTTTCTTTGGAAATATTTTCTTCCCAAATAGAATGGTAGAAACAGAAATCTTGACGTTGAATTCTTTACTGGGGTTTTATTTTCTCCCACAGGTGTTGTTGGAAAAATCACTCAGAACTAATACAATGAAACCCACTGTAAGTACTTTTTTTGAATAAGCATTATGTAGTTGCAATGGTTTATTGAAGTGTTTGGTCAAACGTCCACCAGATGTCAGTACATACTTGCACAATCACATAGGGATGTTTGACTAATCTGGTTCTGATACATCATCCAGAAGTGCAGTGTTGCGTATCACTGATGCTGCTGCTGCTGCTGTAAAAAAGTGCAAATTAGTGCAATTTTAGAAATCCTTATACCTTCTAAATGACAGGAAAAAAATAGAATTTTGATTCTGATTTTTTCTATATCAAGCACTGTTGTTGCTAGCTAGTTATAACTGCTCTGCGATTTCATTTATGAAAACAGAAACTATGTGGCAGAGAACTGCCCTGTAGATATTGTAGCCATTCATATTCTTAAATATGAACAACTGCTCTGAGATTTCATTTATGAAAACAGAAGAGAGCAGAGAACTGCCCTGTAGATATTGTAGCCATTCATATTCTTAAATATGAAAGATTAGGAAAGAAAGAAAGAGCTAGACTTCTTGAATCATAATAAATGAAGACTAAGGAATAATTTTATGGTTGCCTTCAAATATCTATACTGTCTTATAGTGGGGAAGAACCAGACTTTTCTTGGGCAAGTACAGCTATAAGGTATAAGACAATAAATACCAGTTGTTTTTTGGGAATTCATAATTTGTCAAAAAAAACCTCATAATCCACAACTGGGTCACACAATGCTTGTTGAATCTGTCTTCAAATATTAAAAAATCAGTCAAAGAAGATAATAAGCGAGTTCATCAAACTTTGAAATTAGATCCAGCTTCAAAGTTGGTTTGACAGGGTTTGGACCAGGTGAGCTCCAGAGGTCGTCTCCAATCTAAATTATCTTCTGGTTTTATTTCAGTAGTATTTCAGAAGCAGGAAACCTAAAGATATATAAAACCTCATTAGGCTTCAGTCTGTTGTCAGATTTTTTCTTTTTTTAAGTTAGTTTATGGAAATCAGGAAATCAGCCTCCTGACTACAACAATCAGCTACATCTTTCCTATCATGTGGTTGGCAGCTGTACTGAGATGCCTCAGTGATTTTCTGTATTTTTTACATGAAGCATCTCCACATATCTCCATTCATGATCATGAAAACTCTTCTCAATGACAGCTTAGTTTTTGAATGTCATCATTTGGTTTTGTATCATTATAAATCTGACAAGTTTGTTTTATTTCCTGACACAGTATTAAATACTTCATGTAAGTCCAGTGATTTTTGATGACAGCTTAAGCTAGAAAGCGTTTCAGGACATAGTTTGCATTTTTTGAAGAGTTTAATAGTATGAATTGCATCATCACCAAAATAGAAAAAAAAGGGGAGCTAAAGTTAATATCTAACTTAAAGAAACAGGTATTTTCTGAGTTCAATAAGAACAATTTTAAAAATAATTTTAATGAGAATTACTCTCATTATTCAAATATACTCTCAGTAATTAAATTTTTTTTTTCTGAAAATCTATGGACATATTACAGAATAATTGCATTACCTTTCAATTTTTCTGCAAAGCTTCTCTTAAAAATTCTTCAGATGCAACTTAAAATTTTCAATGCACAATTACTTTCTCATAATCCTGCAAATTATTTGAATTATAGATGCCTGTTATCCTCAACAATCTTACAATACCTAACATACAAACATATTACTTATCATGGCTTTAAAACAGTGGTGCTTGTCCCAAGAAGTTTGATAACAACATTTACCTTGGTTGCTGCATGGTACTACAAGTGCCGAGGTTGGGTACTTGACCCCTGTATGAGCCATTCACTTAAGAGCTGGGCTTGATGATCCTTGTGCGTCCCTTCCAACTCAGAATGTTGTCTGATTGTAATATTCCTTTTGCTTTCACTTTGCCTTATGTTTATTTTCATGAATGAATGTTTCATGCTGTATTTAAAATAATACTGCTATTTTACTCACAAGATTAATCAAAACCTTACATGACCTAAAACCTAGAACACAACCCCTAACTGAAATGTAGAAGAAACCTAAAGTATTTTCTTCTAGCAAAAAAAATGGAAATTGTGTTTTATATATAATTTCTGAAATAATAATATAATTTGCTTGATTTCTTTTTTTCTGATAGTGATCCCTAAAGGCACAAAGCGATGTCCAGAGGCCTAAGGCTGCTCAGAACAGCAGTAAAATGTTTAATACTGGCTGACAAAAGAGTGTGTTGTACTGCAGGGATGTATGGATATAGCATCTAAAGGCTTTTGTTGGCAAGCCTTAGGCAAAAATTAGAGGCGTGAGGACAGTGTCCTGACAAAACCAGAATCTACTTCCCCACAGAGATGGGTCACCATGGTGCTGTATAAGATGAGAGCCATTTTACCTCATTTATCATGTTATTCTCTTTCAGTTAATGCCTGTTGAATTGTCAGCAGTCAAAAGAATCATGCTTGGGTATTCATAATTTATGGTTTGGAGATAGAAAGTGTTAAGGAGGTTTTTTGTTTGATTTTCTGAAGTTTTTTGGGGGTTGTTTTCATTTTTTGGTTGCTATTGTTGTTCTTGTTTTTTTAACTACTCCACAGTTTTTCATTGTTTTCAGCATCAGGATTATTGAAATCCCACCTGATTACAGTTCAGGGCACTTCACCATCTCTGATTATCTGCATAAACAATTCAGAGTCTACTTCCTCGTTTCACCCTGAAGATACAGCAGTTTATGTTTGAAATATTTTGTATTTTATTTCACCTTTTATGTCAGACCAATTTGCCTTTAGAATTTATAAGAGCATTCTGCCACATAATAATACTCTTATTATTTTATAAATACCATCACATCGACAATATATTTATTTTCTACCAAAAGGGAATTTCTCTGAAGAATTTTACAGCAATTGCAAATACAAATGTCTAAAGAGTGAAGTACAGTTTAGGACAAAGGAATATTACTTGTTTTTCAGGGATATCTTGTACCACACAGGTACATTTTTTGTCTTTACCTGTAATTAAAAAGAAATATGTACATTTCTTAGTGCTCAAGTGAGATAAATTACACAATCTAGTCAAAATATTAAAATTTGATAACTTCATTATGAGCATAAATAGGTGAAAGATAAATGAGCCTACACAGTTATTATAGTAGATTGTAATATGAAGACTTTCAGAGCCACATTTTGGTAACTCCCAGTTTTCTTTCCTATAATATAGGAATGGGAAAATGTGTCTACATGCTGAAGAAAGAAAGAGGCATTTTTTATTGGCATGGCATTTAATGTCATTTGGTGTAAAAATAAAACATATCACTGCTTTCTGACTGCTGAAACTGGTGACTAAGTAATGGGAGGGCTTGACAGCTCAAGTGAGAAAATATGCTTACGCTTTGGGACAGTATGGGGGAAAAATATATTGTTTCACAAACACTCTGTCCTCATTAGGATTCCAGCTGTATAACAGCCTATTAACAGGAATATTTGCTTGCAACCCAAAATATCATATTTCTGGTCCTCCAGGCAAAGAGACTGTAACAGCAACCAAAGTTAAGGCCTTCCCAAACACCACTGTGTCCTCCAAAACATCCTTGGGTGCTTTAATTTGTTTGTTCTGGTTTCCTTCAGACTCCATAATATCAAGAATTAATCAAAACCTGGTAATCATTAAGCATAATGAGAGGTCACTTACTGATGCTAGTACCAACCTGTCAAAAGAACATTTTAACAAGCACAGGTTTAATTTCCATTTCTAGATCTATGGCAACAGCTACAAGACAGTGCTCATTTACTGTTTCTCATTGAAGTGATTTTATAACCACTGTTGTATTCTGCATTTTGTGTTAAAAGAATTGCAGAGTGGAGAGGATTAAGTAAGAGAATTGAATAATAGTCATTCTGCATGAAAAAGGGAGAAAGAAAATCATGTGCAATTACTGGAAATAAAAATAGATTTAATATTGCCAGACTGGATATAACCATAAATAGTTTAAAAAAAATTAAGCAAAGAATGGAAAAAAGGCTAAAATAAAATGTGTATGATAAAAGAATACCTTTCTTTACAGATAAAATGCAACACAAATTCAAGCTTCACAAGGATATATGTACATAAAGACATCTGAGTTCTCATGTAGAACTCAATTCAATTGGCACATTACACAAATGTAAGAGTACTTTTCACAGGGATCTGGGAACACTTTAACCTGGGAGAAAAAAAAGCAGAAATGTTATTGCAAAACAACAATCAAAAGCTATTGAATTTTTTTCATAGAATGCAAAAAACTACCTGTGCTCTATACTCCTTTACTGCCACTCCTGTAACTGTGATCCTTCTTGATGAGGTTCATACTGCTCCTGGCTGCATCTCTAGTGCCTGCACAAAACTTTAGCGGTGAATAATAGTCAGAAGACTGTATGAAGCTTGGTATTCTCTCAATGAAATCCCTGAAACATGCCCCTGGTAAGTAGCACACCTCTTACACATCAGGGTAGCAAGCAAGTGTAGGCACACAGTTTGTGGTAATTGGGAGAGGGGCTGCAGACAAATCTTATCCCTAATGGGCTGCAGCTGTGAAAAGCAGGTGACCAGTATTGAAATCAATGAAATATGGAGTGCCCAGATGCACTGAGCCTCATCCCCAATGGGTACAGCTGTACAGGGCAGGTGAGCAGCATTGAAGGTAATGAGACACGGAGTGCTCGGGTGCACTGACCAACCACCAAAGGAAACCGAGGGCACACAGAGGTAAAGCATGTAAGATAAAGGAGATAAAATGTTGGGCTAAAGAACAGGGAGGGGAGCTGTTTGAAGCCTTCTGGTGTGGTGGGATGTTTTCCTGTATGGGTTGAAGCTTTTTGAAATTGTGTGGTGATACTTTGTGTATCGTGGTCATCTCAACTGTGTCACACACTATGGCAAATGCTGAGACAAGTGGGTGCCACTGCACCTCTCAGAAGACAGTTGCCTGCTACTATCATTCTAATAATAAAACTAAAATAGAGCTACTTATATGTTTATATAACTCCACTGACTAGTGGTTTCATTGATTATGAACCTAGTGCCAGTTCCCACACCACCAGTCCTCACACACTTACCTAAAGAATATCTTGCCTACTAACACTTTTCTTTTTTTCTCTACATGGAAACCATGGTTGTCACTTACCAAATTTTCATCTAACAAATCGTCTGCTTTCTTGGACTGTAAAAATATTTGATGTTGTATAACAAGCAAAGGCTAATGAGAAATGAAAACCTAAAAGAAATAGTAATAACTTGCAATGAATAATAACAAAGAGTTTTCAATGTAGTTTTTCACAGGCATCATTCTTCCTCTGAACAACTGTGTTGAGACAGATCTAAAGAATCTGATAAGTGCATGAACTTGGAGAGCTCACATACAGGAACATTATTTCAAAGTAATGTATGCATACTGGTTTAAAAAGAAAACTGTATTTTAGAATATCGGGTGAGAAGAGAGTAAAACTTAAGATTATAATAACAATAGCATCAACAGCAATAAAAATAGTGATAATAATTCCCAGTTATTTATGATACAGTGAGTATTAAACTGAACTTGAAAAAAATTCCTTGAAATGAGCTTTCACAGCCAACAGAGTCTCCTGTGGGAAATGAAGTGCGTTATTTCTCTTGAACATTTAAAACTAAATCAGGCAAAACGCTATTGAAAACTTGACAAGGGGTAATTATGAATCACCAGACTGATGAACCATTTGACATAATACATCTTCTCCTCTAGTTAAATTATATTATTCTGTTACTTAAATTATGTTCCTTCTCATTTCTAAGCAGAAATTTTTCTTGTAATGAGTGTTTTATTCACAATGAAGATGCCAATCATTTGTGTTTGAAATGGCAGCTTTTCTTATGAAGTCACATTTTTTCATTTATGTATTTGGACTTGACTGAAAATACCTTTTATCAATCTATTCATTCTGTAAGGCTCAGCAGACATGAATTTACAGTGCTGTATCATGCATGTATTTAATAGAAGTCACCGTTAAGTATACTATTTGACAGTCATACCTGCATTGCAAGCAAAGTGTTCAATATTTGTCAGTTTAAAGGAGAATTACAAAATAAATATTTATTTTTGTTTGTCCTTTTATACATTTTAGTAAATCAACAAACAGGCATTAACTATTTGTATGATTTGGAGATAATACTAAGTCATAAAATCAATATAGCTGTGATCTGGTTTTGTTCTCACAAAATCTTTATAATATACTATTAATATTTTTTTAAGAAATATTCAGATTTCAGTAAAGCAGCAAAAGTTCCTCAGAACTTTTAATACGTTGAGAACAATAAATAACTGTTGTTTCACTCCAGCCAAAAACTGAGCTCAAATTTTTGATTTTTCATTGCATAGATAACTTCCAAAACATGAAGTCAACTGAATAAATTAAATCTTTCTAGATGAGGATGCATCTTCATAGAGTTAAAATATTTTCAAAGCATATTCTACATTTAAATGAATGCCTCTTTGTAATTTTAGTTTTGTTTAATCTACTTTAGGATGAGAGGACTCTATTTAGTCTGCATGACTATAAAAATCAAATAAACTAGTAAGTTCATTAATTTATATTGAAAGCGGCTGAAATTTAGTGAGAAAGCAGA